TTAGCGCGCCAAAACGGGGGTGCTTTAAAAGCGACGCGAGCAACATCTGCCACGCTTTCAGAAGCAGTAATTTCGTCAGGCATTTTGTTTATATGAGCGAGTCAGAGAGCAAAAAGTAAAAGGCATGCACAATAAATCACAAATTTAAATTTCTAATCGAAGTATATCAAACATAAGTTAATAAATGCATTTTGAGAAAGAATGCAAAATACAGTTGAAGAATACTTCATTTTAAATTAAAATTATTGTAAGTGAAGTTGAAACTAATTAATTGTATTTCTTATACTCTAATTAAAAATTCATTGCTTTTCACACATTGTAATTGAAATTTATAGTAAATTAAGATTAGAGTAACAAAGTTTACGAAATTGAAAAGTAGTTATTAAATGTCAAATATAATGACAGAATATTTTAAAAAGTTCAATTAACTTTATAGAAATATTAAAAAATTTGCATTATCTTAAGCATTTATAAATTTAAATTTCATCTAATATTTGAAATAAATGACCATATTTACGTCGTAGAATAAGCTTACTGAACGCCAGTTGACACCACCATGAAAGAAACACATTCTATTTGCAGACTATACGTGTTCTATGTCCAAACGGGTCACCACTTTTAGGCCCCCGTGTCTTCGAGGGTCTATTGAACGTTATGTATAAGGAAAGAAATATCATTCATACATAAACTAAATTTATTAACTAAAAACAAGAACACAACCATCTGGTTTGACGGCCGAGAATGAAAAGGTAAAACTGGAAAAGTGAAAAACCAAATTACAACTCAGTTGTCAACGGAACGTTGCCAACGGTGTTAAATAAATTTAAAGCTTTAAATAAAGTTAGGTGAGGCTAGATCTGTAGCTCACCATAGTATCGGAATTTGTATGTTAGTTTGATTACAGTAATATATCATAGGTTAACTTAAAGTTTTATTTCACAATACTTTAAGAAAAAATAATTTTTTTTGTTTACATTGTTAAAGTAGATTTTGAAGCTAAATTTGATGTTTTCCAAGAAAAATGATTCAAAACATTTTACTTTGCAAATGTTAATTTTTTAAACAGACATTTCTTTTATAATTTAAAGTTGCATTTTTTTCATTCACAATACTACACATAATCTTTTGTACCATTTATATAGTACTGAGGTTCTATAAAATATTTTAATCTTATCATTTTGTTCAATTGACACATTTAGGCACAAAATTTAAGGATACAGGTGATAATTGGTAATGTAATTTCTTATAAATACTTTCAAACAAGACTAGAAAAACTAAAATAAGAACTAAGAATTGAGTCTTGAATATGAACTGAAAATCTGTGAACTTTGATTAACTATATAAGTTTTTAGTTACTGGTTGAGACAGTAACTATAAGGTTTAACTAAGCTGTACCAATTTTCTTTAATTCCATCACATGCTAAAAAAAGGAACATCAGCGCACTCAAATAAAAGAAAAAACTACATATTACAAAATTTTTTTGATTTTCGACTGGTGATGATAACATGAACCCAGCTTTCTTGTTTTTCTTTGCGGAGAAGCTATTCATTAACCAGTAACTTATTAGACAAGTTTATTTCCATTGAAGCATGAAATAAGACTGGAAAGATAGAAAATTGTGCAAATTTTCATATCATATGATATTAAGTATATTTTCATATCGAACATTGTTGCAAAAATCCAACTAGTATGTCATCTTTTTACACTCTACTGATAGGATTTGAGATTCTAAATAACTAAATAATCAACACACAATTAGTATAACCAACAATCAGTTCTATGCAAGAGGTTCTGTAACAATTTTGTCCAATAAGAGGAATTAAATAATAAAAATTAATTTTTTAAAACCTTCCATGAAATATTTCATTTAACATTTTTGAAAATGTAAGCATTTTTCAAGTTTTAAAACATACTAGCACTTGCAGAATTCATATAGAACATTAGCATATTTAAAAGGTGTAAGTTTTTGTTCAAATAATATATAAAAAATATTTTTTGTCAGTAGTGAAAGAGTGTAATAATCATTAGAGTTATAACATTACTTGTAGTGGAACAATTTTGGCAAGTGTAACTAGTGACATCTCTAGAATCAGAATCATCAGCTGAATCTTCACCTTCATCACTACCAGAACTTCCCTCAACTAATAGGAGAAAAAAAAATTGGAATGATAAAAAATAAATAAATAATTTGACAAAGACAATTGCAAATTGAATACTCAGTCATTAATGTAAGATTTTTTAAAAAAAAATTTATTCTATGATCGAATACATAAATCAGTTTATACTAAAAATATTAATTCAAATGATTATTACAGTTTTTTAACAATGATAATGTAAACTCGATCATAATTGCAAGGATTTTTAAAAATTAATTATACAATCAAATGCATAAATCAGTTTATCAAATGCAAATAATTATTACAATTGAAATAGTATTAATTACCAAACAATATTTTTTTGTTTAAAATTGAGGTTTGCATAGGAATTGATTAAAATACTTTTCATAGAAAGGAAAGTATGAGAAATATACTTATTTTGATAAAATACAATAGAAAAGTGACTCTATAAATTATCTTTATCTAAATTCCAGATATTAAAACCAGATAAATAATGTAAAAGAAGTTAAGTTTTTAGTAAAACATTGCCTTTGGTAATTTTTTTAAACAGCTGAATCAATGTTCCACTCCGTGTAATTCTGAACCTAACCCAGAAGACAAGGGAATGCTTAGATCAAGCATTGGGAAAGAGAAGCCTTCCAGCGAAGAGAATTTTTTGATGGAAATAACCTGAATTTGCATTACATGGAGAGAAACACCATGAAAACCTTCCAGGGTTAGTCTAAAGGCAACACATAATCCATATGCCATTGAGAATGTTTTAACTGCGGTTGGTTGCAAGCTGCGAGAAGAATTCATATCAACCAGTTGCTGCCAGGATTTAAAACTGAGTTACTTTATTCAGAAAAATAAAGTAAGAAGAAACCATGGCTTGTATTTGGTTTCTCAAGTAAAATTAATATTAACTTTACTTAAAGAGATATGCATATTGAGCTTGTTGATTTCATTTTAAAAGCGTTACACTAATTAGGTTCCTAATGGTAGAACATGCTTTGAATCTTTTTTAATGGTCATACATGTATTTTACTTGTATGTATTTTCAAAATATAAAGCGCATTTAAAGCATACATTTTATCAACACAATAAAAGTAATTTTCCCAACCTTTAAAATAATTTAAGAATAAAAACAAACTTATTTTTGATTTGATGAACACATTAATTCTAATAATACTAAAGTTAACTTTTACTTGTTACTCACAAAAACAGGTCAGTTGTCTCTACGTTAAGCAAAATATTATAATGAACTCATTTATTAAAAAGTTATATTTGTTCTTGCATACTTTACATTTGAAAGGATCAGTTAATACTTGAAAAATTTTAATTGAGAGTGAAGTTAAATTATTTAATTTAAGAAAACTTTCTTTTTTGACAGGGTTGCCAAAGAAAAAAATGAACAAAATAGTAGCTTTTAGTAACCTAAAGCATGAAAATAGTTGCCAAAAACTATGAAAATAGTTGCCTAAATAAGAACAAAAATTTTTCATTAATAAGATTAAAATTTTATAAATGAATTATCATATACGATGATCAATTTAGTAAAGTTGGTGACAAATATGATAATTTTTATATAAACGTTAGTGTTTTAGCATTGAATCTTTATATAAAAAAATAGTTATTTGCAGAAAATTAAATACTTTTAATTATTAGAATTCATTCAAAATAGACTTTTTCTAAATTTTTTAAATCAAGCAGAATTTTGTAGTAATAACTGTTGAAAAGGCGGTCAAGAAACAAAATAAGACTTAAAATGGAATCTGTGCAAATTAAGCGCATTAAAGAGTGATGACTCAAACTTCAACAGTTCAATGATTTAATATTTTTTATTCTTTAAGAAAAAATTCATTGTGCTCAGAAGCTCTTGCAGGCTGCAGGTTGTCAACCCTATTAATACTAAAAAACATTGCTATGAATGCAAAAAAGTCTCCTAATAGTTTCCTTTTCTAGAAAATAGTTTTTTTTTTTTTTTTTTAGCTTTTTCAGGCAAGAAAAGTTGCCAAAGTCGCCTCAGGCCGAAAATAGTTGCATTTTAGTCGCCTGTGGCAACCCTGTTTTGATGATTTAATGAGACATTTTTACAAGCGCGAGTTTCATTCAAATCTTAAGTGTAATTTTTTAAAAATAAAATTATAAGACTTTTTTAAAACATAATTAGTAAAAATCAAAACTTTTTACAAATTGTTTTGATAATTCTTACTGACGATTTGGCAAAATATATAATTTGATTACTTGTAATTTTTTTAAGCTTAATTAACAGTGTTAGCTTGGATATGATAAAACTGCAGGTTACATTTTATGAATAAAAGGTTTAAAACTTACTAAAATCATTAGATGCTGGTCTGCTTTGTTTAACAGGACTAGGCTTTATACGACGTAAAGTATTTTGACGACGATTACGTCTATGTGTACGAGATGTAACAGCTCCAGGGGATTTCTTCCATAGATAATAGAACTCAACTAATTCAGCCTAATTTTTTAGAGAATATAAATAAATTTTCAATGCTATAAAAAGTGAAATTAAACTTTTATTGCATAAAAAGAAGAATTATTGATATGCATACAATGGGAATAAAACATAAATTGAATAATTACCCCATTATCTATAAAACACAAAAACATTATTACCGTTTCTTTGTGTGGCAGTAATTCTTTTCGTATTTTAAAGAAGTTTTTGCCATACTGTCTTAAACCTTTCACAAATCTTTTCTAGAAGAAAATTCATGTTTTAAAGAAATTTAATTGAATTTAAAGTAGTGATAAAATAATAACAATTTAAAAACTTACAATAAAACAATAAAGATATTAAAAAGAAAACACCAAGAAACATGACAGCATGATATATATGCATTTAATAGAAAAATGTTTACTTGTTCTTCCTCCTGCCATTTCTTTTCAATGCCAGGTGGAATCGGATTTTTCACTAATGCTTGCAAGGCTTTGCCAGTATCATAACTACTTTCATGCAACTAAAATAAATAAAATAGTTTCATTAAGTTTAGATCAGCAAAGCTAACAAAATTTATAATAGTTATGCAACAGATATCAATTTGGCTAGAAAACAGGTATCCACATATTGCCAGTATACTTTTCTTTCTTCTGATCTTTACTCTTGTCTTTTTCTAGAGATTTTCATTTTCCTTTTTCACCTTTATCAAAAGCGATTAAAAAAATACCTTTCTTTCTTTTTCCTTTTAATCAGCAGTATATACAATGGGAAATTATACAAAGAAGTACAGTTAATTTAGGAGAAAAAAACCGAACTGAATTGTACCAAGGAATGCTGATTGATTGCCATTTTTGTTTCATTTTAATTTACCAATCATAAATAATGACAAAAGGGCTTAGTCCCCTAGTCAGTTTTTATTATGCGTATTTATTTATTTATTTACTAAAAAATATTAACCAAATGTTTTTTAATAATGACATAACACTAGAATGGCCACACCGGTCATTTTGACCGTAAAACTATTCGGAAATTTTTTTCCGGCTATCACCAATATTTGTAGATTTTTTCTAAATATTTATAAACATCACCCATGAAAAATTTTGTTCATTCATCTTTATTAATTTCTTTGTAAAATTACATCATATCTAAAATGGCCAACAAGGCCAAAATAACCAGTTTTAAAGATTTATATTTCTTTTGCTTTAAAATTAATTATTCTACATTATCAAATGATTGGGTGTGAAGATTAGAGAGAGACACACCTATTTAAAAGAGACATACACATGAGTGAAGCTTTGGAATGATTATATTGTCTTTCTTAAAGGTGTTCAGACTATTGACTTTAAACCAAGAGTTTGTGATATGCTTATAGTTTTGTATCCTAGTTAAAAATTAAATAGCCACTAGCCCAAAAGCCTTTTATCGAAAAGACAATATACTACTGTGTATCTAGAAAGTCTAAATGGGCTAGTATGGCTTTCTAGATTTTTGTTTGAGATTAGATTGATAGGCATCTTAACTAGTACTATTGATCTTACAAGAGACAGTTTAAAGACCAGAGTGACCCCTCCTAGATTTTGATCAATTAAGCATCTAAAATCAATGGAATTTTATTTGATTTGGTGTATGAAAATATTTGAAGAAATGCAACATAAGACTTTTCAATTATACATAATTATGAGTTTTATTTAAATAATTCAGTTTTCTTTTCTTCTTAAATAATAATAATAAGTTCAAATACCTTAAATTCTTTTTTGAAACTGGGATAACTTATACCAAACCCACTTATGTTATGAGGTACCTACCAAAATACTTTAAGGGCCCCTTCTGTCATTCTAGGTAATAAGGTTCTATATATACACTCTTCTTTCCTTTATTTATGTCACACAAGAGCTGTGCAATGTACTATTGGCAAACGCCTGGGTAACATCCTGGAGGATGATCCAGAGAAGATATAAATATGCCATATCCCATTTTACAGGGAGGACACATTCACACCACATTTATCCATCCGCTGATTGTAATTTATACCTGAACCAGAGTAGGATCAATCTGCGATCCAGTTTCCCCAGAGGTATTGATTTGTTATGAGACCTTGCTACAGGGATGAGAGTAGTCAGAAAGTAAAAAAGAGGAAATCCAGAAAAAAAAAATTATATATATATGTATATATAAACAAAAATGTGCGATTTTTAAACTTGTAAACCATGTGAATATAAATCCCGATATGAGACTTTTAAATCACGTAAATATGAAACTCTACATTGAATTAAAAAAATGCAAAAATACAAATCATGATTTTTTAATTTTTTGATCACGATGCATAATTTTTAAATCGTGTGATATTACAACCACAAAAACGAATCACGATATTGGATTTTAAGCTCGCGTGAATACGAATTGCTACATAGGGCTTTAAAAGCTCGTAAATACAAATCGCAATATTGATTTTTTAAATCTCGTAAGTGAGAATCGCAATGTACAATATTTAAATCACCTGAATAAGAATCGCAACGTTCAACTTTTAAATCAAGTAAATACGAAAATCGAGATTTGATAATAAAATCGCGATTTTAAAAATGCATAAATACAAAACACGATATTGGATTTTTAAATGTTGTAAATAAGAATCGCAATGCGCAACTTTTAAATCAGGTAAATACGAAAATCGATGATTGATATTAAAATCGCGTGAATAAAAATCGAGATATTTGCAGAGTCAGGACTTGTGATTTCTAAAAGGCTTGTTTGTATTATTTTTGTTTAGACATAATAAATACAAATTCACAAGATTAATTGAATGAGCAAATAAATATTTTCACCGCAAATCCACCTCTATTTTTCCACTCTTTTTTGTTTGTTTTCACGCCAGAATACAAGAAGCAGCGGCGTCTGAATTACGAAAATACGAGCTATCCAGCCGACTGATAAAAAATACGGAAAATCTTATTTTCTGTGCGTGAAATAGGAGAAAATAGCTAAAATAAGTAAAAATGCGGAAGGGTCAGCAGCTAGGGCATAGATTGAATTTTCTGTTTATCTTTGAAAATCGTAAATAAATATAATTATTTCACTTCAATGACTGAATTTTAAAAAAAACGGGATATTTATTTAAAAAAACGAAACTTTTAGAGAATCGGAGTTTTTGATAAAAAGGCTGAAATTCGAGA